CCCCGCTCAACAGCAGGTCCTATGCGCTTTACAACCCGGTTAGTCATCTCAGTCCCTTGGAGAGGCGTACAATGTTGCAGCCTGTTAGGCACACGTGATTGTCTTTTCATAATCTGTCAGTGGTGAAAGCCAAAATTCTTTTTTGCAGCTGGGTGAACTGAGTGATAACAAGGTAGAGAACCTTTGATAGAGTCGCATCCAACAGAGCTGGGAACTGGACAACATGCCGCGTTGAAGGCTAAAATCATGACAATTGTTCATTTACTTACTTACTTACTTGGTTGGAGAAGAGACATCATTGCAGGCAGCATAATGCCATAGCTGCTCCTCCCTCCTCTCCAGGATCCATGAAAGGATCTGCCGCTGATCGTGCCTATGTATACAAAATACACTTGGGCATGTTCATTTGCTGATAGAAAATGTATACAGCTTTTTACATGACACAGGAAGAGTTTTACTTCATGATGTGAATCCAACAGTTATATTTGTTTCTTTGTTTTGTTTTTTGCTGTCGCTGTTTGTTTTGTTTTTGTTTTTGTTTGTTGGGGGAGGGGCGGTTATCTTGACATTAAAAAGGGTTTTTAGGGCTAGATGCTGTCCATTTCTAGGAATCCCTTTAGATTTTACGTATATTTCATGGGACTGCATATTCTGCTTTTGTCTTTCTTGCTCATGTTTTTTTGTTGTTTTTTTCTATTTGCAGCTTCTTATCTAAGAGGAATTCTCTTTCTCATACAGGGCCCTTTTCTGTCTTACTAGCAATGTTTCAAAACCAGTGTGCCACTGCACAGTCCTTCCGTGAAATAAGTCAGTGAGGATTAATATTGCAAGTCGGATAAAATTCAAGATTCGTTAAATCGAAATAAGATCTTACAAATTAATTGATCGACGGCGGAAATTTTGGATGGATATACAAAGATTCAGCATCACTACAGAAATGCACTCATTACATTTAGGCACAACGATACACATACATGTACGACAATGCATAACTCACTCGCACTAGCGTATACAACATATTCATGGGCATCTTTGCTCTCTCTCTCTCTCTCTCTCTCTCTCTCTCTCTCTCTCTCTCTCTCTCTCTTGTCTCTGTCTCTTTCTATCTCTCTAGTTATTATTAGGTTATGAAATTCGTGTGCTAGTTTCCATAAAATGTGGGTTAAGCTGTCAGGTCGGCCCTTAAGTTTTAATGAGGCGACGGCAAAACTTACCATTTCATCAATCGACCGTTCCTAATTTTTTGCCCAAAATAGTTGGAACCTTTACTGTCCATTTACTGCCATCTAATGTGTTGATCGTACTAACACAATTTGGTAATGGCTTGCTTGAGCCATCTGTTCTTATAGGATAAAAAGGGCCTTTCTCATATTTCCCACTACAAAAGTGTAAACACTTTGAGTGCATAGTTTGTAAACCTATTTTTCGAATGGAGGGCTCATGTAGACTTTTACCTAATATAATTTCATCTCTCGCCTTTATACAAGGTCATGTGACCCTATCCAAACCCTTTGCATGCGTCAATATGAAGGAGGTAAGAATCAGAGCCCAAAGGATTCATCAAGCTCGATTAGAGCGAAATGCATGGCGTAATGACTCCATAAAGATCTCTCGCGTGAGCCAATAACAATATTTCGTCATCGTTCAAATCAGCTCAATAAACCTCAGGGTTTTCATTTGAATGTAAAGCAGTGGGTCTAACACGGCGAAAGGAGATCAAAGTTCTATGGGAATGAAATCGATCAGTTATACAAGCAGGCAACTGCCCACGGAGAACCATCAGACTGAGTTTAAAAGGTCAGTTGGACTGGTGAGAGATTTAACAGGACGAGCACGTACACGTTTAGCCAATAATTTGTTATTAAAATGTCTTCTTGATTTCTGTTTCAAATAGTTTGCATTAGTTCACGTGTATGTCTTCTCAAGTTGTAAGTCAATATATATGTTGCTGAAACAGGTAGTGCCTCCGTTTTGAAAACCTAGAATATGTTACTAGTTTTGCGGTTTAAATGCCGTTTTGTTCTAGACGCTGTCATTTCCACCAAAGAATAAGCACATCTGAAACAGTAGAATATAACGTATTGCCACCGGGCTCAAGATCACATTGCAACAATGCAACACGCATTATTCTGCCCCTGTGACGCTGAATTCCTATGTCAAAGCACATTGGGGTATCGATTAAATTTTATGAAATATCAGGTTCCTGAAGAACATCTTTTAAAAGGTGAAAAAGAGAAGAAACCAGTTACATTTCTTCCTTATTTCAGATTCTGCCTTCAGCTTCCCTCAACAGCGAACAATCATAAAAATGCTAAATTTGAAGCAAACACGGGCGATCGAAATTCACCATTCACATCTCTGCTTAAATGATCTCAAAAGAGTTCTTTTATCCGAACTTCTGTAACGTGAATATTCTAATTCTCGATGTAAATTGTTCTATGTCACCCTTAGGCTTTTTTTTTTTTGGATTTAAAACGCAAAAGTAGAAGTCTCGTAAAAGAAAAAAACCCAACAACACTTGCATAAAGCCTTTCTGTTGATTCTGTGGATAGTTCTTTTCCATTTCGTTCGTGCTCCCTAGATTGGAGACAATACTCAAGTTGAACATAATATCATACTTCCAGTTGATTTACTCTCTACACACATCTTTCTGCGACAACACAGTGCGATGTAATGCGGATTTCGGAACTGGCTTAAATGTAAACAACCCTTGCCCCTACGCTTTGCATACCTGACATATCACTAACCAAAATTCGTATGCGTATCAAAATACATGTATTTTTCAGAATTTTGTTCGTTTTTGTGTCTTGAATAGATATATGCCAAATCTTGAAGTACAACGAATTTTGTTCTTGTCCTATAACATAGTGCCTGGGGTTTCTAAAAATCATTTTATTGTGCCATGCTGTAGACATTATTATGGTGTTTATAATATTTTCAACATTTGAACCAACAGCATACCCAACATGACTATGATCAGCTTAACTCGTTAAAGCAGTACCAAAGATTGTACCTTACATTATAGTTCACTTGCCTTTCTGAATTTGTAATGCGATACGCAAAAGTCACCAAAAGTAATAGTGGCAGCTATTTGTCAGTGATGCTCGTTTTAGGGATTGACATGTCTTGCCTGCCACGGTCAGGGGACCAGATTTTCGGAAAATAGTTTACCTTTAGGAAATAAGAAGAAAACTTTCCATCTATGGGTATAGAATCTAGTTACAGAGACTTCGATTATTTTGTTATAATTATTACTATTATTATCATCATTATTATTACCACCAGTATGATTACCATTTTAATCATTATTATTATC